TTTTTTGAGGAAACACCATATTGTTTTCCATAGTGGCTGCACCAGTCTGCATTCCCATGAACAGTGTACTAGAGTCCCCTTTTCTCCACATCCTCACTAGCACTTGTTGTTTGAGGATTTGTTGATAGTAGCCATTCTGACATGTGTGAGGTGATACTCATAGTTGTTTTAATTTGCATCTCTCTGATGATTAGTGACATTGAGCATTTTTTCATGTGTGTCTTGGCCATTTGTATGTCCTTTTATCTCTTGCCTCTACTCTCCTTTTAGCTTCCTACCTAAGCTTCCAGTTTGCCCCCTTCTAGTAGTCATCCAGTGCCATTCTTCTTAAGGGGAAAAGGGATCATGTTAATTCCCATTTAAAACACTGAAATGGTATCTCATTACATTAGCCATCAGGCTCTGCATACACGATTCCTGGTGTCAAATCCTGGTATCACCACAGTAACTGTGGGCAACTTGCTTAGTCCTTCTGTGGCATAATATGTAGGTGGTAAAGTTAAAGAAGATAATTCATGTAAAGCACTTACAACTCTGCCTGGCTCTCAGTAAATGTTGACAATTATTATTAATGTTACATGGCCTACAAAGCCCTGTGCTTAAGGTCTCATGTGAACACTTGAGAGTGCCTTTCTTAAAGACTTTCTTCCAAGTTCGGTTCTCCTTCACTTTTTCTCTATCTCAACAACCTGTTTACTTTATACTGCTTATCATCTCTAATGATCTTTTTTCATTTGTTGTCTGGCCTCTCCCCTAGACTGTAAGCTCCATAGAGAGGGAGTAGTTTAGCTTGTTCACTATTTTAACTGGAGTACCTCAAGAAGTTTTTGCCACGTAGCAGGAGTTTATTATATACAGGGGTGGGCAAAAGTAGATTTACAGTTGTGAGTATGTGAAACAGTTTATTCTGTATTATGTATTAATTATTGTATTTACTTGTATTACAACTGTAAACTTACTTTTCCCCACCCCTGTATTTGTTGTAGAATAAATAATGAATCTCACATTCTTAGCAAGACCTTTGGACATTTACTTTTTGGTATGTTTTTCATTCTGATTCAATTTGACTTTGAATAGAATAAAACATTTATTTATAATGCTGTAATCTGTTCTGCATGTCATGATGGAGAATCTTATTTCCTCCCTTAAAGATTCTTATATGAAGACTAAATTGGACAATAGAACAAGAATGTTGATGATGAAATTTCTTATAAGATCATCTTTCTCATATTTTAATATTGAACTTCCAGCGTTAGAATACTGCTGAGTATCAAAAAAGGAAATTTTGAAAGCATGACGTTGTGCAATATCAGCGAAGCTCATATTGGTTGTTCACTTTGGATCCTGCCCAAAGGATTTGCTATTGAAGTACCTGAAAGGCCTTAAAATAGTTTTACAGAATCAACACTAAGCATAGCTTTATAGAAACATTTTGATTAAAGTTAAATTATATGTGACAAGAGAAAAATATTATTTTAGGGTATTATTTTAACTATTTTTCTACTTATAATATTTTTCTAGTCAACTTACAAGTAATTGGAAAAAGTATACCTAATTTAAAAAATAGAGGCTTTTCTTCCAACTTACAGTCATATTAAATAGTTCCTTACAATTTTGATTTGCTTCTAAAATGCACAACTTCTTTAAAGATACAGTCTAATATATAAAACTTAAATGGAAGCCATATATATTGGGACTTTCAATGTTTATGTTTTTGCAATTCAGTACACTGTTTTGGTTAGATCCTTCATATAAAAATGTTTTCTTTACAACAAAAAATATTTTCAACAAAAGAAAGGGAATTTTTGTTAGTGTATACCTTACAATTTTAGATTAGTCATCTTAGACTTTATTTTGGTTCATTTGTTACATAACCTTGGTTATATAAGAAAAAACTTGATTAATGCTCTAATTTTTCTATGAGATAAAAAGAAGAGGTTGAAAGTATACAACCTTTTGAAGTCTTTGAAAGTGTTGATAGCAGGAATCATATTTTCAGTCAAAATTACTGATGTATTGGTTTGATTAAAGGAATAAAAAGTTATTTTTTCCTAACAGCTTCTCCCTTCTTAGTATACATGAATGACTTGTCTTTGAGTAAATGATAGAAATACGATCTTTTTCAGTTCAATTCAGTACTCTTTTAAATACTGAATTGTTATATTTACAATATTATCTCAAACTTAGAAGTGTATTTTCTAAACAAGTTTCTTTTCTTTATTTTTATTGTTGACAGTATTACAGATGTCCCTATTTTCCCCACCTTTGCCCACCTCCACCCAATCCTCTCCCCTTACCTCTGGCCATCACCACACATTTTTTTCTTAAACAGAACTAATAATGAAAAATTTCAGCATACAATGGACAATTCTCTTAAATAACCCTTCTTCTTCCATTTGTCATCCTCTCCCCTCTGTTATAGTAAAAACTTGTATTAAATCAAATCTGCACAGTATTATGCTTCATGTATGGTTTTATTTGAGTGGAATTATTGATTTCACATGTAGCAAGCATTTCATTGGTTAGCTTTAAAAATCATTAGTAAAACTAAAGCCAAAAAAACTCATTAAAATAATATTATATATACATATGAAAGACCTTTGGACTAAAAAAAAACAAAACCCCCCTAAAACCAGTTAGTTTGTGGTTGTTTTTTGTATTCTTCAACAGTCCCTAATACAATGTTGACATTATGAAGCAAGCAAGAATAGTTGTGATCTGATTCTTAGAATGTACTTTTAAACATGGTGGGCTCATGATGGGGTAATGGTAGACCTTTCCTTATATAGGAAAATAAAGGAATAATGGGCAATCCCCAGTATCAAAAGCCAGATTTTTTTTCTAAAGCATACGTCCTATAGAATTTGGTGACCTAGAACCTTTGGAATCGTAGTTCTTCTAAGAGTCAATAAAATATTAAGTCAACAGTCAGTTTAGCCATTGGGGTGGGGTAAAATCTCATATATGTAGATTTGTCTAAATATCTTTACCTTTTGTAGAACACCTAAATTGAATATTTAGAAATTTCTTCTATTTACTTTAATAATCTTTGTTAGGTTGAAAGTTTTAGTTTTTCTTCTTTTATATAAATCAATAATAGCTGTGGGAGACTGTTTGCATGGCATCCATTTTGCTAAAATCTGCTCTGCCATCTCCTGCCCCAAGGCAGGATACCGCTGTATACAATGTTTCTGCATTCCTTTAAGTAACCATTTACTCAGCCAGTTATGCTCTGTTTATCTTTTGTTCCACCGGGGATATTTACGTGATATTTACCTGAAATTGCTTGGGGTGGTTACCACAAATATCCTTGGCAACAAATGTTCTTGTTTTTCTGCTTCAAGTAACCATTTACTCAGCCAGTTATGCTCTGTTTATCTTTTGTTCCACCCGGGATATTTACGTGATATTTACCTGAAATTGCTTCGGGTGGTTACCACAAACATCCTTGGCAACAAATGTTCTTGTTTTTCTGCCTCTTGCCCTATATATACTGTGGATCTCCCCAGAATAAACTAGACTTGATCAGAGCCCTGTCTTGTCTCCATTTCTCCTGTCTCTTGTCCCTCCTCATCCTCACTCCCCCTCTAGAGTCCTCCAGGGTCAAGCCTTGAAATAGCAATTCCCATATTTCCAAGGAAACAGTAAACATCTATTCCAAGCTATCCTTCCTACTATATTTGTTTACAGACTTACATCTGTTAGAGGGTGAATAGTTGTCTCTTATTTTTCTTTGTACTTTTTATTCATTTAAAATTCCTTACAAACTATAACAGAGTTAAATTTTCTTTAAATATTTTTATTGTACAAGAAATATAATTGTTTAATAGAAAATGTATAGAATTTAAAGTAAGAAGAATTGGTTTTCTCCTTGAGCTGTTTATCAACACAAGCCTGGGAAATTGTTTTAACCTAATTCTTACTTTTCTTGATGCTGAACTTGAACCTGATGACAATTCCCTTTGTATTTTCTTCATGGTTTTTTTTTGTTTGTTTGTTTGTTTGTTTGCGTCATCAAATAATATGTTTGTAAAAGTATTTGGTAAACCATGAACTATTCAAAATTAATGGTGAAATTATGAACATAAAATCTTTTTTAGCCTTTAAAAACTTGTAAGTACAGAAAAAAGCAAGACAAATTTATTTTACTAAATGAGTGGGGTGTTACAGCTTAGTGTTCATTATCTATATGCAGTATAAGTAGATAACAACAATTTAAGTATTCCTGGTTACCGAACATAAACTAGTTTTTGCATAGTATTTATTACAATGTGATTTTATTATTTTATATTCTTTCTTGAAAAAAACAAAAAAACAAAACAACCTAAGGCCCATATTATGATTTTTTCCTAAATATTTACTTTATATATTTAAAAATAGAATTGTACTTTAAAAACTAACATTAGTCAAAACAGAAGGCTTTATAAGAATTAGCAAAAATGTTCATATTCACATTTTGTCAAAGAGAGAATGATAACTTCTCCATATACAGCCACCTTGGTAGTCCTTCTGCCCTATTAGTATTGCAGTGTTAAAGATTAGAATAAATTACTTATGATCACACCTTTCTATTTCTTAATTTAGATAATAACCTGTGGAATTACAGGAAAACAGAACGTGTGTTTGTGTTTGTTCTATGTATAGAACAATAGTCTACATATATACCAGTAAAAATGATCATGAATTTGCCAGATTTCTGATTACATTTATATTGCTTCAGTGCTGGGGGAAAATGCTGGGCAGTCTAGGCCCATAGAAAGAGTAACTTTGGCGATTCTTTTTTTAAGAGAAGTGGAAACACTAGAATGATTTTTTGTTGTTATGATGTGGTTTCTTTTCCTCCTAAATATCTGTAAGAATTGGGTGACCCATGTATGTTTTTATTTTGACAAACTAAATGCAACTTAGTTCTTTCTTCTTTAGTTTGGACTCTAAGTGATTTCTCTAGATGAAACTTGTTTGTTTTTAATATTTATATATTCACCCATTTCATTTCTCAGGAGATTTTATGAAGATGGAGCAATTGTCTTGGGTGAGGAAGCAAATATGCTTGCTGGCATGCTGCTTGGGCTCAATGCTATTGATTTCAGGTATTTAATCCTAACTAAATGTATGCAGTTTTTAAATTATTCTACTTTACAATAGTTTCTACTTACGATATTTTCCTTTCAGTTTTCTACGAAAAGCACACAGTTGGATGTTGATACTTGATTCCTGTTGTTCCTGTTTAAATGACATCCGTTTTCTAAATGGGTTTGCTCTCAGAGAAGAGACTGTCTCAAACTGAAGGAATTAATTTACAGACTTGCTGTTTAGTTTGGGTAAAAAGAAAGCTTAGACTATATTCCCCAAGCAGAAGAATCATGTACTCTGGTACACCTGAAGGAAGGTTTTGGATTTTATCTCTTAGTGTTTTGGGCTGTTGTTTTAAAATGAAAAGAAATACACTAAAAGTACATTTAAAGCCAAAAAGATTTTCATTATCTCATGTGTTAGGATACAGAATATTCTGACAGGCTATCTTGGGTGTCTTATATTTCTCGTGTTATGTGCCTAGACTATAAAATATATTGTTAATATTTACTTTTATTATCAATAAGATAAATTGATTTTAGACTAAGAGTACAAGTAGTAAAAAGGGACATTATAATTTTGTTTTAGATTTATGAAAGCATCTTTTTTGCATTTCTTGAATTTATCTAAGATTTTACATTGTACTGAAAGTAAGAGGTTTGTCTATAATAACTAAAGGATAATAATGAAAGAAATGTTATATTTTTATTTAAATATATCATTTAAAATTCAAGAATATTATTTAAATAAATATAAATTTAAACAAATATCTACTTTTAGGTCTTGAATTAAAAAATAAGCTGCCCATACTCACTGAGATTATCTTTTTCTAGTAAATCACTTTTTTTTTCAAAATATTTGTCATTTTATAATTTTCTTTAATATTTAATAAAGTAGTATTAGGTAAATTAGGTTAATTGTTTAGGGTGAACATGATTGAATATGAAGGTTGTCTTTATGATCCCTCCAAGGGTATTAACTTTTTATATGGCATGCTGTAGGCTCTAAATCCTTTATAATTTTACTTTTCGATTTAAAAATAACCTGGTAGAAGAATATGAACTGTCAATTTATTGGAACCCATTGATACTATACAATCAGCTGAAAGTAGATATTTTAAAGATACATTAGCAATGTTTCTGTAAATGATGGGAAACCCATATAAAATGCTGCCAATTTGATTCTCTATTTATTCAAGTCTGAAAGAAATACATACCCTTGATATTAATTTCTTAGAACAAGTATTTTCCCAGGAAAACTTCCCCCAAAAAACAGGAGGTAGGAATTCGTAGATGAATTTTTTTCTTTTGAAAGATTAACCCACATCTTTTAAATATTCCTTTGTTTATCTTCCTAGAAGATATACTTTTTTCTTTTAATTATCTTTGTTTTCTTTTTAAAATTTAAATGTTTTATTTTTTATTGAAATTTAAAAATATTTTTTTAAATTATAGTTTACAGTCAGTATTATTTTGTATCTGTTTCAGGAGTATAGCAAAATGTTTATACAATAATATACTGTACAAAGTGTTGCCCTTGATATTTCCAGTATCCAACTGGCACCATACATAGTTATTACAATATTATTGATTATATTTTTATGTTGTACTTTACATCCCCATGAATATTTTGTAACTACCAATCTGTATACTTTTCAATCTAACAATAGTAATCTTAAAACTAAACACCATTTAAAAAACAAAACAAAACAAAACAAAACTTAGCTCTATATACCATTATACAAAACAAAGATTACTGGATTGGGGAACCAAGAGAGCTAGAGTTTTTTACTGGCTTTACAAAACTCACAGTATGATTGTGGGCAAGTTACTTTAAACTTTTTCATGGCCTAAAAATCACTGACTGGACATTAGAAGACTTTTAGCAATTTTTTTTTAGGTCTAAGATCTAAGTCCTTTCATCTACTCAGATAGTTTAGAAAACCCTCATTTTTTCCTTTTTAAAACTTTTTTCTTGCCCTGGCCGGTTTGGCTCAGCGGTTGGAGCGTCGGCCTGCGGTCCGGAGGGACTCCGGTTCGGTTCCCACTAAGGGCACGTACCTCGGTTGCAGTTTGTCCCCGGCCCTGGTTGGTTGTGCGGGTGGCGACCACTCAATGTGTCCCTTTCACGTCGATGTTTCTCTCTCTCTCTCTTCCTCTCTCTCCCTCCCACTCTATCTGAGCAAAGGATGGAAAAATGTCCTCCGGTGAGGATGATAAAAAAAAAACCTTTTTTTCTTTATTGATTTTTTTTTAGAGAAAGAGGAAGGGAGAGGGAGAAAGAGATAGAAACATTGATGAGAGAGAACACCCAATGGCTGCCTCCTGCATGCCCCCACTGGCAAGTGGGCCCACAACCTGGGCATGTGCCCTGACCCAGAATTGAACCAGCAACCTCTTGGTGCATAAGTCAACACAAAACCACTGAGCCACACCCGCCTGCTCTTTTTTTATTTTTAAGTTGTTTTATATCACTTTATCTAGAGGGGAGGGCATTTCCATTTTCACTCCTCGATATATTTTATGGACTTATTGTGTGCTTCTTCACTCATTAGTTCATCTAGTTCTGCAGGGTTACTCAGTGTCACCTTGATTAGCCAACCCTCTTCATGACAAAATTTGCTGACAAGTCCTGGATTTTCTGCAAGAGTGACATTAATTTCAGTTATTCTGATAAAATATAGAGTTTACTAGCAGCTTTCACATTTTCCAAAGCACCAAACTCATCTTATTTGTTCAATTTTGTCCCAATTTTAGGCAGTCTATAGTAAACAACGTCTCCCAAAACTAACTGTGCAAAACTGCTGATTCCCACGGTTCCAATATCATTTTTTGTTGTTATTCACTCATATTTCTCTGTGAATTTACTCACTGAAGCATATTGGGGTTGGTTCACACGTGGACAGCCCCTGTCCTCAGGCTCCAGAACTCTGGGCCAAGGTCATAAGGCAGGCTGCAGGCCGGGACCCCATGTTCCTTCCGTGCTGCTTGGGACACCATTTTCAAAGGCAAAACTCCTAATTTTCTAATAATGTTCAGATCTTTTTAGGAATACTCAGTGTCATCTGAGAATTTGTATGTAAATATGAACAAATATTTATTTGAAAATTCTCTAATGATGTCTTAAAAGGTTGAATAAAAATGAAGACAGTATGAAATAATGTTTGAAAAGGTTTCTCAGTATATTTTACTTTTGCATGCTGTGTTTACATCATGTATAAACTTGTACAATTCTATGTCATTTGTATTGAAGGTAGAATATCTTTATTGAGATATTTATTTGTAACAAGTAAATTATATTTAAATAAATTTGTAACATTTCAATTACAAATAAAAATTTTACCTGCAAATTGATGAAATGAATGTATCTAACAGATTATTTATAACACTTAACTTTGATATAAAATTTTATATATTAATATGGAATATTTATTGTCTGTTGTCTTAGTTGCTGCCTAAAGGGAGAAGGATTGGATGGCAACTTTCCTGCTGTAATAGACTATACGCCATATTTAAAGTTTACCCAAAGGTATTTGACATTTAGAAATACGTTGTTGAAATCCAAATTTATTGTTTAATGTCTTGTTGTACAATATATTCATCTGGTTAAAATTCCTTTTTATAAAACATTTACTTCATATCAGAAATCATTCATAAATATAAACTCCAGTTGCATTTCTAGTATATATATATATATAAGTATACACTTTCTACATAATTGTAATCCCAGCATATAGTTTTTAAAAAGTAGCATGTATTTCTATTGCTGTAGCCATTATAATAATAAATGTAATAGCTGTTTAATAGTCCATTGAGATTTTAAAACTATAATTCATTATGTAGACTGTTTTCCATTTTATCTCTATTATAAAGAAAAGAATAAACAAATCAATTTTCTTTTTATTTCTATTTTGAATTTATAAAGTTATTCATATAAATATAACAAAAATTTTATGGCTCTTAAAGTCTGTTTTTATGAGAGTTATACTAATTACCCACTTGTATGGGAGTTATGGATTTCCCATAGTCTCATCAACATTAAAAATTAATCAGATAAAATTTATAGATTTTCTGAAGGTCTGCCTTTGGTTATGGATTTCCTGAATAGAATGATGATCTTTATATACTTCTAAAATGTTTTTTGAGGCCAGAGCTGTAAAGAAGCGAGAAAGAAAGGGAAAGTAATATAATGTATACAACATGCACAATCAAGATGCATTATTTATGGAGTACCTAATTTCGGAAAGAAACTTTTTTTCATACCAAGGATACATAGATGTTGAGAGTATAGAAACATTGTGAACTTCTGACAAAGAAGACATTTTCTGTCCCCAGGATAATCATCATCTAGTGAGAGAAATCACTATTATTTCAGAGTTAATTTTGGATGATGAGGGAGAAGGAGACAGAGTATTGTGGTACAGAATTTTCTAACTTAAATGAATCCCTTAGGAAAAGAGATAATTCTAGTACATTAGATCTAGAAAAGAAATACAGCAAGAGGATGTTTCGAATAGACTTAATATTATACTGTTTTGGGGTATATTGGGTTATAGAACATTTGGTGAAAATAATGAATAGTTCAAAAAATACTAGTAAAAATAACTAATAATTTTTTGAATTTATCATTTTTGTTGAAAGTATTACAGATGTTCTCTCATTGACTCCCTCTTCTCCACTCCCACTCCCCCGACATTCACCACACTATTGTCTGTGAATAATATTTATTGAATGTTTATTATATATCAGGCATTGTTCTAAATGCCTTAGTTCTATTAACTCATTAAGTCTCAAAAGCCAGTGAGGTAGACACTGCTATTCTTATTTTACAAATGAAGAAACTGATACAGAGAGGTTTAATAACTGGTCCGTAGTCACACAGCTAGTTTGTGAAAAGTGGGCCACAATTATACAATTAAAGAGCAAGATTACAGCTGAAGATAGGGGTTTGGTCATCAACATGTAGATGGAAAGTCTGTTTTTGTGATTTAGGAAGTCACTTAAATTAAAATATAAAGATAAATGTGAATACTAATCTTCCTCTCTTACTTATATAAGAGGCTGTAGTAATTATTGCAAGGTTTTTTAAAGGATACAATAATGGAACCTTCTCAGTTGGTGCCCCCAGAATGAATTTAATTTTACTTTGTGTCCTCAACTGCTTAACTATTTTTTTCCTGAATTTTTATGCAATTTCCTTTCTTTGATGAACGAGCCCAAAATGTTTATATAGCGTTCACTCCTTTATATACTAAAGGATTCCTACCAACTTATTATATAACAGACACTAAAATGAAAAGGAAAATATCCAGTCAACCTAGTCATTAACCAGTTAGCATTTCTGACCATAGAGTTTTTCCTTTTAAAAAGAATTAAGCTATCCTAATTGACTCAGTATTTTAAAAGTTGAATTGCTTCCACCCAAATATACCTGTATTAAACATATTTAAAAAAAAAACTCTATTAGGTTTCAAATTTTAAGAAGCTTTCAGAGTCTGTCCCGCCTCACATCACTGCATTTAATTTATTTGGAAAGTAATACATATTCATTATAGAAAAATTTAAAAATACAGAAAGGTATTTCAAGAAGCTAAAGTCTTTATAATATTAATTATGATTATATATTTAGTGCTAAAAACTTTAGAGTTTGTTCACGAGTAACTTGAAAACAGAAATATGTCTTAAAAATCAAAGGGGAACATATTATTAACTTTATTCTGTCTCACAAATGCAACCTCCCCAGCTCTGACAGTATCAGCAGTGACGAGGAGGAGCTGAGGACGCTGGGAAGCAGTGGCAGTGAGAGCAGCACTCCAGAGACTGTGGGGCCTCCCTTCGTCATGGGGGAGAACAGCTGGTTCAACAAGTGTAAGAGAGTTAAACAGAAGTATCAGCTAACCCTGGAACAGAAGGTATTCATTAATTAGTATTAAAAGCCATTTAACTTGGTTCTAGTTATTGCCTTTGGACTATCTCTGCCAAAAGACCTTTTAGCTGAATAAAAGGATTTGCCCCTTCTTCTTTCTTTCTGTTCTTGAATTGTCTTCCTTAAAACTCATGCAATGTTTTAGGAAAGTCTTTTATTTGTTAAACTTTTTCTAATTTTATGTTTTAATATAAAATAAGCCTTTTATTCTTCTGTATGCAGTTTTATTGATATGTTTGAGATTTTAGTTCCTATGATGAATTTCATAAAATATTTGGTTTGTGGAAAAGCAGCAATTGCCTAAGCAATTCCATATATGTTTCATTTGTTCTTTTTTAATCATTTAATTTAGCAGATCTTGTATGTTAAGTACTGCACTTGGCAAAGCAGAGTATATAACAGAAAGGAAAATGAACTCCATTATCTTGAGAAGTTGTAACCTTTTTTTTTTTTTTACTGTATTATTTATTTTCTCCTTTACCTTTCCTTTTAAACTATTATTATTCATAGATAATCTATATAGGAAAAGCCTGATGGAATAACAAAAGAAGTATTGGAACAACATAAAATACAATGAAGAAAATGCCTATGAAGTAAATTTATAAATATGAATAGACTTTATATAGACAAACAGCTACTGGTTAGAAAATATAAAGAAAAATATTCCATTTATACTAGCTATATAAATGTGCAAAATATCTATGGAGAAACTTTAATACCCTATTAAAGATGACTTCTCCTACCAGCAAGATTTCAGACTAAGATAGTCTGAAAGCCTTTACATTGTAAAAGTATGAAAATACTGAGTAGGATACATTTCAAAAAGAGCTTCATGAAGAGCTGCTCTCTCAAAGATTAGGAGCTCACTAAGGACCAGAAACATACAAATACTGAAAAACAAGAGGAATAAGTCACGAGTTGAACCACTGCAGCCCCCTGGGGTTGTGAAGGGGCATTCTGTTAACTTAGGTACTTGTGTTTTAATACCAACAGGGGAACAGCAGACCTAGGCCCACTATCATTCAAGATGGAAACTGAACCTAGAAGGCAGCAGTCAGATGCAAAATGACAAATTAAGCACAGAAATTGGTAAATAAACCTTGACTACCTGAAACAAAAACTATTATATTAATGGCCAATATGGGATGGCATTGGTGTGCTGAAGTATTAACAACTGGCTTTCACAGAGATAATAGAGAATCCCTGATTTGTAGCATTTGTTGATTCTTTGGGGTATACGCTCATCATGGCCAAGTTAAATCTACCAATGTAATATCCCTGAATGCAGAATTTGGAAGAGATACACCATAGAACACTCTGATATAGTATTTATAACAGATACAATAGACAAAAATGACCTTAAGAGCACAGATAATAGTAAAATATGGCAAAATATTTAGGAAGTGATGACTTTTGAGTGGTTATTTCCTTGTTTTTAATGTAATTTACTTAATTATGTCTATATAACTTAATTTTTAATAATAGCAGTGTTTAACAATTGCATATAAAATTTCTGAAATATAACACAGCTCTTAAGAGCTGTACAAGCTGACTGCAGCCCATCACTGAGAACCAAAGTGGAACTAAAACTCTAACAATATTAGAAGAGGTAAGAGAGGGTGATTGACGCTAAAGCCATTTGACATCTTTATATTACAGTGAAAAGGGTAGACGCGTATTTTAATATGCATGACTGTTTCCAAAGTTGCAATTAAAGGTAGAATATTTAATTTTCAAACTAATATTGATAAGATAAATAAGAAGATTTGATTGCTACAATAGAAAGTAGCAAGAGAGAAAAAATAAAGATGGTATAAAGGATGGTACCATCAGATAAAAAAAGGGTGGTATCACAGATAAAGTCATAGAACAAAAATTCAATATATCCACATTTTATGGTGAACCAGCATCACCATAAAAGTAAATGGCATAAAATTGCCAGTTAACACAAACTCTTAAATTTATTTTTTTAAATCATAAATTATAATAGTTATATGTTATCTGTAAGAGACTTACATAAAATAAGACACAAAAAAGTTGAAACTAAGAGGATAAATATATAATTAACCAAAAGGATTCTGTATTAATGTTATTTAACGTAAACAATGCAAAAAGCATTATCAAGACTAAAAAAAGACATTATATTTGTAAAAAATAAACAGTTCAGCAGGAATGTATAACAGTGCTGAACTTACATGCATTAAACAATGTAGCCATGAAAAATGTAACACATAAGGAGAAGAAATATATAAATCCATAATTATGGTTGGAAATTTTAACATCTTTCAAAATAATTTACAGATTCAGTGGACAAAAATTAGTAAAGATGTAGTGAACTTGAACAAGAAAATTAGTAAGTTTGATCTAAAATTTGTTAAATACTAACAATATAGTCCACATTCTTTTTTAGCACATTTAGGCCAGCTATCAAATTTTTATGGAGCATACCGTGTCACAAAAACAAATGCCCACAAGTAACCAAAGAAATGATATAATAGTGATCACAGTGTAATAAAGTTAGATTCAATACAAAATGTTTACCACCACATGTAGACCACCAATGGGAATTTAAGAATTAAAACTTCTAGGTTATATGTCAAAAGAAATGAGTAAATGAGAATGAAAACAATGCATATTGACCATTTTAAATTGCAACTTGTGCAGTATTTGCAGAAGCACTTAGAAAGAAAAGTAGAAAAATTAAGGAGTTAAGCATCTAAGAAGTAAACAAAAAAATAAATAAAATAACCAAAACCCCCACCATATCAGTCCCAAAGAAGGGAAAAATAAAAAGAGTGGATTTTAATGAAATAAACAGAGAAACGATTAATAAAACCAAAAGCTGATATTTTTTGTTGTTGTTGTAAAAATTAATGAAACAGAAAATCTTCTTAATAATTATACTTGCCCTGGCCAGTGTGGCTCAGTTATTTGGAACATCATCTCATACACCAAAAGGCTACAGGTTCAATTCTCAGTCAGGGCACATATCTAGGTTGTAAGTTTGATCCCTGGTCAGGTATGTGCAGGAGGCAACTGAGTGTTTCTCTCTCACATTGATGTCTCTGTCTCTCTCTCTCTCTCCCTCTACTTTTCTCCCTCTCTCCCTCCCTCCCTCCTCCCTCTCTTTCTATCTCAAATCAATTAAATATTTTAAAATACTAATTATACTTATAAAAGTATGAGAATTATACGTACAATTTTGATAAATATTACTTCTCAGAACTGATAGACGTCTAAGCATTAAAGGAATTTAATAAGTAGTTTAAAATATACTTTCTCCTCCCCACAAAATCGCCAGACTTGGTTGGTTTTGGAAGAAAACTCTACCAAATGTTCAAAAGGCAGTACAGTGGTTCCTCCTTATCCACAGGAGATACGGTTCAAGACCCCCAGTGAATGCCTGAGACTGTGGAAACTACCAAACACTATATATACTTTGTTTTTCCTATACATGCCTATGATAAAATTTAATTCATAAATTAGGCACAGTTAAGAGATGAACAACAATAACAAATAATGTAGTAGAACAATTATAATAATATCCTCTAGTAAAAGTTAAGTAATGTAGCATTTTTAAGTAAAATAAGAGTTACTTAAACCCAAGCACTGCCAGACAGCATGTGGCAGTCTCTCCCACCTCTCGCCTACCACTCTCCCCCTCGCTCCCTTCTACTCTAAAAATCAATGGAAAAAATATCTGGGTGAGGATTAACAAAACAAAACAAAAATAATATCAGGTGGAAATGTGAGTAGTATATAAACAATAATATGAACAATTTGGTATTATCTAGTAAATGTAAAGATATGCATGGCCTATTTCCCAGCAATTCTATTTCTAGTCACAGTTCCTAGAAATTCTTAGGTGTATGTACCAGGTAACATGTAACTGAATGTTCACAGTAATATTGTTTATATTAAGAAACAGCTAAAAATAATCCCAATGTCCATACTATGTATTTCATACAATGGAATACTGTTCAGTATTTTTCTTTTAGTCCTCACCTGCGGATATTTTTTTCATTGATTTTTAGATGGAGTGGAAGGGAGGGAGTGAGAGAGAGAGAGACATCAATGTGAGAGAGACACATCAACTGGCTGCCTCCTGCACGATCCTAACTGGTGTTGGGGACTGAACCTGCATTCAGGTACATGCCCTTGACCAAGAATTGAACCCAAGACCCTTTGATCGAAGGGCTGATGCTTTAACCACTGAACCAAACTGGCCAGGGCTACTGTTCAGTATTGAAAGTAAGGCATTATTGTAGATGAAAAAGCAAGTGTCAAGAGTATAGGCAAAACTAAATATATTGCTTAAGCCAACATACATTTGTGGTAAAGCTAGAGAGAAGAGCAAGGGGGTGACAAACATAAATATCAGGATATTGTCTTTGTAGTGGAGGCAGAGGGGTATGATCAGGGAAAGAAATTATAGAGGCTTAAAAGTTTTGATAATTAGTCTTGGTCGTGGATATGTAAGTAGTGTTTAATTACTAATGTTTATAAATATGTGTATGTAACTTATATATCAAGCTTTGTTTTTATAAAATATGTCATTTAATAAATTCTATTTTTAATTTTTGAGATTTTATTATGGAAAAATATTTGAAAATTGTCAGGAAGAAATCTGAAAAAGAAGGTTAATGAAGGGAGAGTAGTATTAACCTCTATTAACATGTGTCCTAAAGCTAAAATACTTAAAACATTTTGTTAATGACAAATAAATAGGATAGCAAAATGGAATAGAAGACTGTTTTAAGAAAAAAAGATTCTAATTAATATCCCAAGAAAAATTTGTAAGCATATTGCAACTAAAAAGTAGAATGTCATGAGAAGGGAACCTTCAGCCAGTATGATAGAGCTGTTGGAAATTATAATTAAGATGTTCTGAATTCAGAAATTCAGTGTAAGGGTTTGGAGGATAAATTTAATGAAGTCTCTCAGAAAGCAGAGCAAAAGGACAAAGAAACAATAAATGAATAAAAAGATAATAGACAGAGGATCAGCCCAAGAAGTCTCATATCTATTAGGTGTTTCCCAATAATAATAGCTAGGAATTACACATTGCATACTGTGTACCAGGTAGTATTCTATTTGTACTAACTCATTTAATCTTCCCAACTAGGCTCACTTTTTCAGATGACAAAACTACGGCAAAGAGAGGTTAAGTAATTTGCCCAAGGACACACAGCTGATAACTAGTAGAACTGGACTATATAGATACAACTAGGCAGTCTCTAAGCCCACAGGCCTAACCAAACATTGTACCGCTTCCCACTAATTTGTCAAAGCTAAAAATATCAATACCTTTTTTGAAAAAAATAGTCATATAGATGCAGTTTTTTAATTGGTCATTCTGTGATTAGGTCTGTGTTTTGAAACTAGGAGGAATGCAGAATATTTTATCATTGTTGTAGAGCTTAGAAATTATGTTTTAACCAGGTTTTACCTTAAATTATAAATGTATTTTAATGACTCTTAGAGAAGAGCTTTAAACAATGAACATATGTTAAATTTTTGTATTAAAATAATTATTTTTACTATTTAATCAGTGCTACTTTTAAGTCGCTTTATCACAATATACATATGAATCACATTTAAGCTGCTGAGCATTTACCTTCAAAATATGTTAGAATTTAGCAGTGGGTTGTATCTTGCTGATCTGTCTTTGCAGGGTTATCTTGAAGAACTCTTACGACTTCGAGAGAACCAGCTGTCTGAATCTGTCTCCCAGAATAAAATACTGCTACAGAGGATTGAAGATTCTGATCTGGCCCATAAATTGGAAAAGGAACAATTACAATATATAATTATGGAGCTTCAAGATCAGCTGTAAGTGAGATCTTTTTGGAAAAAATTTTGGCAGTATGTGAATATAAGTGTCAAGTTTTAACATGAGATTCAAATTCCAAGAAATCTGATAGTCTTCTATTAAGTTATTTTTCACTTCTCTTTTTTAAAAGTTTACTTTTGTTTTTCTTATTATAAAAGTAACCAATGCTCACTGTAGAAACATCACAAAATATAGGAAGAAAATAAAAATTACCTTCAGTTATGCCACCCAGACTTAACTAATATAATTTGGTGTATATTCTTTCAAATGCATATGTATAATTTAAAAAATAATCAGTGATTGTAGAAATATGGTAGGTAAGACCAGTACTGCTAAAAGGGCGGCACCAGCACATAAACGGTTACCAGGCTGTGCCAGACCATTACTAAGCACAGTTCATTATAGCTAACGTTTCTCTAACAAGGATTCTTTTGATGAAGAAAGCTGTGTATTGATCTACATTCTGGTATAAGCTCCTTAACTTGTCACTATTCAAAGCACTTGTGCTAATCACTCTGTTTTGTCAAACTTGATTTTGTCAACTGCTTATAGTGAAAATCTTGTCATATTAATATTTACTTAATCTTAAAGGATGTTTTAAAATTTTTTCTTGAAGTAATTTCAAACTTTTGGAAAAGTTGCAAGGATAGTACTAAATAATTTCCATATGCTTTTTTCTAGATTCACCAGTTTTCAGCATTTTGCCACATTTGTCATAATTCTCTTCCTCTCCCTGTATATACAGACATATTATTTTTAAAACCACCTGACAGGTTACATACATCATGTCTCTACTTCAGAGTGTCTTTACTAATAACAAAGATATTCTTTTATATAAACATAGTTCAACTTTCAATTTAAGAAATTTAAATTGATACAATACTTTCACCTAATTTATAATTTATATTTCACTTTCATCAATTGTCCAAATAATGTCCCTTATTGCAACTTTTGTTTTTCTGGTAAGGATCCAATCCAGGATATGTTTTGAATTTGGTTGTCAGTCTCTTCAGTCACTTTTAACTTAGAATAGTTTTTCAGTGTTTATCTCACAAGAGATTGATATTTCTGAAAACACAGGCTAGTAATTCTTATAACATGTTTCTGAATTTTAGTTTGTTTTTCCCAGTGATTAGAATGAGTTTATCTATTTGTGGCTGAATTGCAACGTAAGTTTTGTGTCCTTACCACGATATCACATCCAGAAGTACGTGAAGTCTATTGTTGGCCTTTTAGTAGTTGTATTAATTTTAATTAATAGACTAAGATGTTTTTCTCTTCTGTATAGTTACTATTGTTCCTTTGTAATTAACATGTAATTTGCAAAAAGACTAAGTAAATATAATGATGATTTATTAAGTAAAAATATTTTATTAAGGAACATAAAAATGTAATGTTGTCTGGGAATTTGTATCTAGGGGAAAATAATTATGTTCATATAGTGTTTTTTAAATATTTTTCTAATATTTGAAAGTTTCTAATATTTTTTTTTGGTATTTGAGAGTTTGTCTTATGGAGTATCACTTGTTTACGGGCAGATTAACACCTTCGGTAGCCCCTTCTGTAAGCAAGGAGAAAAATATCAAGAGCTAAACAATAGATTCATTGCTATGGAAGATGGTGGTGGGCAGGACCAGAGGGATGGTGAGTGTGTGAGAGAGTGAGCGAGTATGTGAAAGAGTGTGAGTGGACATGAAGTTGGATGACCAAACCTGAACAGTGCAGAGCCCCAGAGCAGAAAGCTCCTATGCTGTGGACGGGAGCAGCAGGCTATCGTGGTAAGCGGCCCTTCAGGGCGCTTCTCCCTGCACTGTGGGAAGGTCTGACCATTTTGGAAGTTCCCAGGTCTTCCCTGGGAGGAGGCCGTGGGACCGGCTAAGGCAGGACCTGAGCCCTCCAGTGCACCTGGCACCATCAGACACTCTGTGTCAACACAGACCCTCTGTGTCAACACGGACCAGTGCACAGAAGTGGAGCTCCAAAGGTGCTGGTCCAGAAGCCATGAACAGCTGGGAGCCCAGCACCATCCCCCATAGTAGCAGCCCCATCAGAGTCGAGATACCCCCAACAACAGAGGCTGGAGAGCAGACATCCATCCCCAGACAACAGAAGCACAGACCAGCAGCTGAAACCCATCCCCCAAAACTACAGCAAAAGCTGAGCAGGAGTGAGCCCCATGTGCAGCAGCACTCCCCAGCCACCAGCGGTGGGACCTGGGGCTCCACAAAGGCCTGTGCAGTCCAGTAGCCCACAAGAGCAGTGGGAAGCCAGAGCCTGAGAGGGACTGGTGCAATCCAACTGCCTGCCCATGGAACCTGCAGGCTGCAGGGGCATAAGAGAGGCCTGTGTGACCCAGCAGGGACTGCGTGATTCAGATATCCATGGGACCTGCGGTGTGCTGAAACACCAGAGAGGCCTGTATGACCCAGCAGGGACTGTGCCATCTAGTTACCAGCAGGACCTGCGAGGTGCTGAAGCACCAGGGAGGCTTTTGCGACCCATCAGCCCATAACATAGGCGTAGAGCCAGGCCCCCAAAGGGACTGTGCCATCCAGTTACCCGTGGGACCTGCAGGGTGCGGGGGCATCAGAAAGGATTGTGCCACCCAGCTGCGCACAAGATAGGCATAGAGGATGTGAAAATGGAAGTGGAGTGAATAGAAGCTATACAGACGATCTCCTAGGACCAAATGGGAATTACAACTAAAATAAATACAAATCCTCAGAAAAAAGCAACAGAAAAGCAGCAGGACAGGACCAGGGACACGAGTAGAATCTGAGGAGGCATGAGAGACTGGATGGCTGGGAGCCCAGGTACAGCAGCAGTCTTAGCTGTGAGCAGCACACTTGGGGAATAAAGACCAAGCCAGCTCCATAGCGCAGGGAGCCTGGACAGAGCACTAAAATAGCCACAGCCACTCACCTGGGGGCTATGACAGAGGGAGAGTAGACTTGGCTGGAACTCTGTGGAGACAACCAAGATTTGGAGGGCACTCAGAGTTTTTGCTGAGTTGTGTTCACAAAGGATGGTGGCCAGTGTGCTCCTTCCATGAGCTGTGGGGAAAAGCAGCAGCCCCCACACCACTCAGAGATTCTGCCTTTTCCAGGTGAGGCAAAGAAATGCAAACTGAGGCTCATTAATAACCAGCATCTATCCCACCTTCTAGAAATCCTCTTACGCAGAACACCAGGCTGCATTTCAAGGCACTGAGTAACTGAGACTACCAGTATTCAGGAAAAAGCTAGAGGATAACTGAACCTGTACTGAGCTTGCAAATCTACCCAGGAAAGTAAGACTTGACAGTGGTGTTTAACGTGGGCCCACCCAGGCTCATCCAAAACCAGTAGAAGGATCCACAAACAGCAGAACACCAACAACCACAGAAAAAATTTCTTAGGCTCCAAAACCCACTGAGATAGCCAAAATGGTGAAACAAAGAAACAAATCCCAAATGAAAGAACAAGAGAACTCTATCAAAGATAAGATAAATGAAATGCAGCTAAGCAAATTATCAGAGGTAGAGTTCGGAGCCATGATCTTGAGGAAGCTCAACAGTATGAATAAGGACATCAGCACCATGAGTAAAGATATAGAAACATTGAAAACAAACCAAGTGGAAATGAAGAATGACATAGCAGAAATTAAGAACACATCGGAAGGACTAACCAGCAGAGTAGAGGAAGCTGAGGAGTGGATGAGCAAATTAGAACACAGGGTAGAAAAAAATCAACCAATTAGATAACCTAAATGAAAAAAAAAACAATTAAAAAACAAAGACAGCTTAAGAGAACTGTGGCACAACTGGAAATGTAATAATATCCTCATCATAGGAGTCCCTGAAGAGGAACAAAATGGCAAGGGTTAGACAATATATTTGAAGAAATAGTGACAGAAAACTTTCCTAACTTGGTGAAGGAAGAAGGCATTCAAGTTCAAGAAGCACAGAGAGCCCCAAGTAAGAAGAACCCAAACAGGCCCACACCAAGACTCATAGTAATTAAAATGCCAAAATTTAAGACAAAGAATTCTAAAGGCTGCAAGAGATAAGCAACAAAGAAAACCTACAAAGAAACCCCAATAAGGCTCTCATGACTTCTCAACAGAAACACTAAGGGCCAGAAGGGAGTGGCATGAAGTAATCAAGGTCATGAAAAACAAGGATCTGAATCCAAGACTACTCTATCCAGCAAGATTATCATTTTAAATAGAAGGTCAAATAAAGAGCTTTCCAGACAAAAAAAAGGCTAAGGGAATATATTAACACCAAATCAGCACTCCAAAATATGCTAAAAGGACTGCTGTAATTAGTAGAAGAAAGAGGAAGAAATATATAACCACATTAAACAGAAATGGCAATAAATAAGTACATATCAATTATCACCTTAAATGTGAATGGTTTGAATGCTTTGATAAAAAGACACAGAGTAGCTGACTGGATCACATATATGTTGTTTACAAGAGACCCACCTCACAATAGAAGACTCACAAAGGTTGAAAGTGAAGGGATGGAAAAAAATCTTTCAAGCAAATGGAAAGGAAAAGAAAGTTGGGGTAGCAATACTCATATCTGATAAAGTAGATTTCAAAATGAAGGCCATGACTAGAGACAAAGAAAGCCACTACGTAATATTGAAAGGATCTATCCAACAGGAAGATATAACATTGGTAAATATATATGCTCCCAATATGGGAGCACCAACGTATTAAATTTCATCTGACAGACTTCAATGGAGAAATCAACAGCAATACAATCATAGCAGGGGACTTCAGTACCCCGCTGACATCACTGGATAAATATTCTAGACAAAAAATAAACAAGGAAACACAGACTGTAAATGAAGTGCTATAGCAAATGGATTCAATAGATATCTACAGAGAATCACACCCCAAAACTACAGAATTCACATTCTTCTCTAGTGCACGTGGGACATTCTCAAAGATAGACCACATGTTAGGACACAACCTAGTCTCTACAAGTTCAAAAAGACTGAAATCATACCAAG